ACATGTTACTGAATTTAGTAAGTACCCATAAATATATATATATATATATATGTGAAGCTAATAGTTTCATTAAGGAAATTATCAAATTGACTATAAGGAATTGTTAGTACTCTTAGGCATAATTATGTGAAGGAGGTTAAAAGTGAATTAAGATCAATTATTTAAATAATTCTGTAATTTGTCCCAGGATGAAGTTTAGGTATGCAATTAAAAAATGTGTGTTTTGAAACATATTTAAGGCTGAAAAAGTTCCACGCACAGGTCCTTTTCTATTATGCTTCACAAATAGGGTGTGTTGTACACTGCTCACCCCATCAAAACTGAAAGTTTTAAGAGCTTTCTCTTAAGGCAGACAGGCAGTACTATTTGTTGGAAGGCAGAAACTCTGGATGTGATTTAGTGCCCACCAGTAATTCATATACATTTCGAAAATCTGTCATGATATATGACAGCTCTCTCGGGGACTTTGCTTTTAAAACAGAATTGTTTTCTGAAGATGCTGGGGATTTTTTTGTCATTGCTTTCTGTTTTGTTCACTCATTTTTCAGCGTTAGAGACCACACATACTGGGCATACTTCTGGTCTCATTCTCACCCACGAAATTCTGACTTCAGTAGAGTTGCACGGGTGTAAATTAGACTAGGACTTGGCAGGAGAAAGCTTATGATTATATTTGGCAGAGACAGCAGGCTGCAACTTTATTAACATAATTAACAGCTACAAACACACCCAACAGGCCAAAGTAATCTAGTGACAGAAGAGAGAAGGTCTTAGTAGGAAAGGATCCTTCGCACTCTCTTTTGGTGTTCAGCTTCTTGTTCCTGAGTTCCTACTAAGTCTTGGCGAGCTTTCAATTGAGCTGTAATTCAAATTCATACAGCTCCTGCAAGACACCTTGAACAGACTTTTGCTGATGAGTCTATAGGAACTGTCAGCAATACGGGGATTACTTCAGAAGCGTGATGGTTGAATCGAACTTTACTTTCTGATGTTTTGCTTTTTGAATTAAATTGTTGGACAAGATTAATTGCACGCAGTAAGAGATTTAAATGAATGGCTTTATAAAGCATTAAAGTTCTAAGTATGTCACATGGGAAAAAAGCTGTAAGGTTCAAATGAATAAATGTATTTAATGCATAAAATGTCCAGGCTAATTTTTTAATTCCTTTACTAACATATTGAAAAACCATACTTTATTCATCCATCTTAGTTATACTGCTGTGGTTGTGGTAATTTAATATTCCTGCTCTTTGCTAATCTTCTGGTTCAACAGAAGTAAACAATAGGTTTCATAAATTAAAAATACGCTCCTCAGAACATGCTTCTAAAGATAAAAAACAAGGCTGTAAACATTTATGACTGAAACAAACTAGATTGTTCAAATACTGCCATGATGTATCATGTATATCAATATGGCACTGATATCAGTTAGAATGCAAACAAGGTTTTAAATGATGTGCCCCTTCATTTCAGCTGGAGAATCCGCTTTACACCATCTGCCTATCAGATGGTTAGGAACCAGGACTGCGTATTAATGCCACATGTTCGATTTTCATTCCTCTTGTAATGGTTAGATTCATATTGCTAATAGCTGTGCATGAGCACTGTCGATGAAATTTGTGTGACGATGGAGTGATGAGATATTTATAAAGCTGCCTGTCTCACTGCATAATCAGCAGGAAGAATGCCAGACATAAACAACTTATCAATTTCAGAATATTAATGACAACTACCGTTGACTTTAATCCACTGAATATTTGGGCCTGAATATTTTTTAACTGTTCAAATAAATATTTGTAAAGAATAAAAAATACCTATGTGGCTGTTTGGTGTGATCCTTATTTCTTTAATTTCAGTTGATTTTGTAGGTTACATTTGGTTATATCATTTTTGAAGATAACATTTCTGTAGTGTAGAGAAGTGTGTGCCTTGGAAATTCCTTGGCTACTTATTGTAAGAGTAAATTTATATTAAGTAATGTTTACATCAAAAGGCTTTTTCAAAGAATAAATTAAAAAAAAAAATCCCAAGTGTTTCCCTGGGTATATACCCATACTGTGCCTTTAATACTTAGTATTTTAAAATATAAATATAGATACATAGTAGTGTATTAACTTCTGCTTTTAGTATATTTGCCTGTCTATACCAGTGAGATAAGAAAGGTAAGTTGGGCCATGTGCTGAAGTTCTGGGTTGTACCACACCCCAGTGCACCACAGTGCACCAGTGATTATAAAGCCAGTGGCTCTGATAACTGGCTTCAGGCCTCCCTTGCCACTTGCTTAGCTATATCATCACAGTCAGGTGATAGGAAAAAGTAGCAGTAAAGGAGAAGCTGTGCTGTAGGCTGGAATTGCTGTGAGGGACCAGCATTAAGCTAGAATTCTGAGCATTATTCGTTCCATTTCCCTCCCTACTTATACCTGTGCTTACATGATTCAAACATTTCAGACCTGCATGGTTTCCATTAGTTGCTGTATAACAAAGCAATCATTTCAGTCAGTTCTGTGATTGTATAAGAGAAGGAATGAAATGATTAGTTTAATTTCTACTTTTAAAAATTATCACTTTTTGCCACAAGCATTATCTTGCAAAAATCATTTTACAGAGCTGAGCAATTTGTATTTTAGTTTCTCAGTCCCCATCCAGAGAAATGCACCAAAGCATACTTTTTTTTTTTTGTAAATTTTGTAGCAAAAGAGTGTTTTTATTTCAGGTATTCTGCATCCAGGTCATTATTCCATTGAAACAAAGTAATTGCAGGTGGTCTCACAAGTCCTATGTCCAGCATCTCCTTTGTATGTAATTTACCCCAATACTTAGAAGCACTTTAAAACAGCTGATCTAAAAGTGTAGTCACAACCAAAAATATGGGGCTTGTTGTTGCACTCTTTGAAAATAGTGTACCAGAATATTCCTCCAAATAATTGTTCTTTAAAAATGCTAGTTTTAGCTTTTCAGGGATGTATACATATATTAGAAAAGGAAGTATAGGTTATTGTGTTGTTTAATGAGCACCGGATGCAAACTAAAGTTCAGAGGTGCACCATCCCTTTTTCTGTGGCCAAATTTAGGGACTGCAATCAAATTTGTGTGATGTATGGCTTCATATCCTTCCTCCAAGGTAAAAATATAATTGGAAGCAATCCATGTTATTGTCAATACCTTTTAAAGATCAGAACATGCACAATTTGTGGTAGTAGCAGAAGCTGAAATAAAAGTAAACTCTCATATTTATTCACCTTCTCATTTATTTTTGGCTTTTGGTACATCTTCTACCTGAAACATCACTTTTCTAAAGAATATTGATCTGTAATTATCACTTGGTCAGTAATTCTCATTACACATGGAGGTGTTAGAAGTCAGCCTGTGAGGAGGGTCGGGAGGCTGGAACTGTTTGCTAATCTTTATGTGGTCATGCAAAGCAATAAGGGAAAACAAGCTTCAGTCAAGCAACAATATATTCAAAGGCACCTCTTATGCCACCTCGTAGATTTCCTGATGTCTGCTCACCACCTTCTTTTCCCCTGCTGGAATTTGCCTTCTGTCCCTCCCTATCACTAGCCAAAAACATGGCAAATGTGAACTTGTTTTGCATGTAAGGAGTCAAAGTAGACAACAAGAGACCCTGAGAAGCAATGGTGCTAGTAATATTTACCTCAGAGGCCTGGGATTATTTGCTTATTTGGTCTTTCCTGCTAAATTGCACTCTTCCTTTGCTAGACAGCAGCCTTAGAATAGTAAATTGTGGAGTTAGTTCCTCTTGAGATCCGTAAGACACTTCACACCTCTCAGAATAGCTGAAAATCAGACAAGCAGGCACCTTTAAACTAATTACATGGAGTTTTTCAAGCCTTCTCCACATTCAGGGCAAGAATCTTGATTCAAAATGACTGAGGGTCTGTTTTCTTGTAGCATCACAGGGTGAGAGTGCATCAATGCATTAAACTTACCTGCTTTATTGCCTTCTCTGTTTCTTAGACTTAATTCTCTGTCATTTCCATCTCTGCCCCCTGCATCAGTTTTGTGGGGGAGGCAGCTCCTGGGAAGTTTTGACACTGGCTTCTCTCTGCTGCCACCCAGGCTGGGGCAGAGAGATCTGGGTGGGCAGCAGCAGGGCTTTGGGGACCACAGGAAAATTACCCTGCCTCAGGGAAGAGGGCAAAAACTGCAAAGATGCTTGTGGCTTTGATTAAAGCTGCATCTAATTTTGAGTTTTGAAGGCAACTGGAGAACTGGACCGGTTCTCCGATTGCTCCTGGCAAAGAGAAATTTTCCTGGCTTTGTAGAACATTCTTGTAAATGGCTGGATGGCAGAAACTTGGTTTGTTAGGAAGAGCACTTGAGCTGCCTGTAGATGGCTTTGGGATTGGTATTAAATGGGTTAATAATTTCTCTTCTCATTGATATGTACTTTAATGCCTTCAAGTCTGGGGAGAGCAAAATAATGTTCTGCATTATTTTTTTTCTAGAAATGCTTCCTAGATCAACTACATCTACTTCCTGTTATGTATGAAATGAGAAATGTCTGAGTTCTATCATCTGTTACTCATAAATAGAAATTATAGACCTGTTTTTTCTGTTTTCTTTAGCATGTCTTACAGTAGAGATCTAATGGGAATTTTTTTTCCGAAGTACGGTTGTGTACATATTCACCTATTCACAGTCAGACACTCAGGACACCATTTTGAAGCTAAATTAGATTTTTGACTGCATGTATTTGTAGCTGCATCTAGTTGTGATTCTATTATGAATGCACTTACTAGATACCAAGTTAAAGTTTAGATGAATGTATACTAGTAATATATCTAATGTAAGGAGTAATATGATGTGAAATATTTTACTTGGAAAAGTTGATAGTTTTCAAAACCAACAAAAGGAATAATAATCTGCAGTGCTCTCTGTTCTTATGTAACAAGCATGAAGGAATAATAAAAGTCCCTACAATAAAGGAGACTCATAGAATAATGAATATTAAATTTTTTTCGTACTTCTTTGCAGGTCTGACAGCAGCAGCTGCAGCAGCAGCAGCTGCCACCAATGCCGCCATAGCAGAAGCAATGAAAGTGAAAAAAATCAAATTGGAAGCTATGTCCAACTATCATGCAAATAATAACCAGCATGGAGCAGACTCTGAAAATGGAGATCTGAATTCAAGTGTTGGTAAGTTTCAGACATAGCATTATTATATGTCCATAATACTAAAATATTTTATTAAAATGGTGATCTTTCTGAACTTCCTTCTGAAGTCCTTGGCTTGGTGTAAAAAAGTTGCATATTTGTTTTCCTTTTTCTTAATGTTTTTAGTTTTATTTTGTGCCTGACCTTTACACCAGTGTTCAGTTTTGTTGTTATTATTACAAAACCATTCTTTTCTTTGCAGGCTACTTTTGCAGACTCCAGTTAATATTTTCCATGAAAGAAAGTGTTTTGATTGCTTAGAGTTCATTTTTCAAAGTACAGGTGGAGTGACAGATGATGGTGTCAAAGTGAAATTTAACAATGTCTCCTGCTCAGTGTGCTGGGTATCGACTTTAGGTAATTCAGAACACAAGCTTGAAAGCAAAATATTTCATACTTTCATGTGCCCTGTGACAAAAGGAAAACATACATACACAATAAATTCTGCCATGCTCTGCAGTTCCTATCATATTTTATTTTAATAAACACGTTCTTAAAATGTAGTTAACATTTTTTTCCATTTCTTAAGCAGCCATCAGCAACTCTTGTTCTTTTACAAAAAAGAATTGTTTCAGTATACTTTATTCATTTGTTTGGACAATTTGTTTTGCTAAAGCATACTTCAAAGCTAGGATAACTTTTTGTTGTTGTTGATTAAATCTTTAATCATCTGTGTGTGTCTGCTGTAAAATGTTTTGTTATGCCATTTCATTGTATTGGATCCTTTTATCATGTTGAGACAGTATTAACTCAGCAACAGAAATTCAATGACAGAGAGGTACGTTCAGAAGACTGCAGGGAAGATTGGTGTATACTGGAATAAAATGGCCTCAGATAGGCTTTTTTGTTTTTATTTTGGCCCTTTGTCTGGATTAATTTTTTTATTTTTATTTTTTTAGTTTTTCATCTTTTAAATACATTAAATCTTAGAGGGTATGTACTGGCCTTAACATAAATAAATACTTGTTTGTGAAAAGTGTTTCTGTACAGTTCAGTAGACATCACTAGGATATTATTTAGAAATAATATGAATTGCAGTTCAAAGAACAGGTTCACCTGGGCACATACTACTGTAAGTAGCAACAGTATGTGTGCATTACTGCATAAGGAGATGATATGATTGGTTTTGTTTTCCTTTTAAGTAAAAGCTTTAAAAATACCTCTGTGATGGTGAAGAAAATAGTCTTAAATTGTGTGTGAGTACTCAGATACCACATATGCAGTTACTTGAATACAAGCGTAAAGATTGTTCTCTTGGAGAGAAAACAAGAGAGGGTAGAGTGCAGGTGTCTTTGAAATCTGGGAGGAGGAGATAGGTACAAATGAAGTGGAAGAACCAGGTGGCCTCTAGTACACTGGGAGAAAGGTGGAGTAATGAGAAAGGGTGAAAAGTATAAACACAAACTGAGAAGGTATGTACTAGAACTAGAAGCTAATCTAGACTTTCAGGCTTAGATGAATCCATTATGTGAAATAAAAAGTTCAAATACTGGTTGGCAGTTCTAGTTGTAAACCACATGTGCATCCATGGGGATGGAAAAGTTAACAGGTCTAAACCATCTAATCTAAATAATCTATAATATCTAAATATTATGGTAATATCTAAATCTGCTAATATCTAAACCACCCAGAGTATTTGTAGAAGAGTGGATAGAAGGAACTTCCTCTGAACAAAAAAGCAAATTATCTGTTTCGAAATCCTTTTTTTAGTCATAATTTAGATAACTAATATGCTCTTAGACAGCCTAATCATTTTCCCTATTTAAGAAAATACATTCTAGCTATTTTAGTAGGGCAAACTTAGCGAAGCAAGATTATTTATTGTCATTGTCAAAATTTCCTCTCATCCCCTTAACTTACTTGTTAGCTTCAGTTAATTTCCCAATTTAACTGAATGAAGAATTGAGTTAATTTTGTTCAGAAAAAAATGGCTCTTCTGAATAGAGTGAATAGCTTTCCAGTTGTCTCCATTCCATGAGGAATGGTTCTGAAAATACAGTTTCCTTTTCTGTGGATCTTGTCTTGAGCTGCACCCTTCTTACAGAGGATTTCTCAGAAACAATTTGCTTTTATTTGTTTATTTTTATAGTGAACCCTGTCTAGTGTCCAGTGTTGGTCATGCATATGGAATCAGAGAAGTGACTCTTACTGCTGCTAATGTCAGGGTATTATTAGGTTCATGAAGAGTTAAGTTCCTTGTTTATTAGTTGCATTTTTGAAAATTAGTGCACTGTATTATCTTGACAAGAACTCATATTTCAAAGGTGTTGCTTTGTAGTTGGTGTGTACTCTTTCTTCTCCTGCATTTTTTCAGGAATGTGTTTATTTATGTATTTTCAAATAAATATTATCAAGTCCATATACCATTAATGTTTTAAATTATAGCTTGCTAGCCAAGATTGTGAAATATTACATTACTGAATGTTGACAGGAAGAAAGAATAAAACAAAAGAAAACAACCTGATTTTAGTTTACATTTTAAATTAGGTTATGTGCCTGAACAAACTGAAAAGGAACAAATGATCCAACTGGGTTAAAAGCTTAACTGATTCATCTTAGCCCTTATGTAGCAGGCATTATGGTGTGCGTGGATCCATCCTCCGGTGCTCCAATGCCTACATAAAGGCAGATAAATAAAATAGGGACCGTTGTTTTATTTATCTTATCGACTTGTCAGATTTGCTTCCAGATTGTCTTGCTTTTTGGTTTTAATCAAATGCCTAATGTGAACTACAGAAGTAATTCTTGTAGTCTAACGTTGTATAATTATAGAGAGCACTACACAAATTTATTAACTTGGTCCTTTGAAGCAGTGGCCAAAAGGTTAGTGAGTGAAGGGAGTTAAAGGAAGCCAATGATACTAATAAGTAATTATTTTATATCTCTCAGTTTTGCTGGTAACCTTGAGCTTGCATCCTCCCACCAGAATTATCATTTTAGAAGCAGGGAAAATAAAGGAAAAAAAAAAAGAAATTACAGAGGAATCAGAGTGAGGTATTAGCACACTGAGTAAAATATATGGCTGCAACGCCTTTCTCCCCCATCCACAATCAATTGGATTCTTTTAGTTTAATATTTACTTGCTAAGATGAGATGCTAGTCTGCATGGTGATAAACAGTCTGCTACTGGCATCTGAAGGTGACCTGTCAGTTCATATGGACAAATCTCCTGCTTACTGAAATGTACAAAATAAATCATTAAAGCAGGCAGGTGCTCATTCCCAGATTTAAATCACCATAGATTTATGATTTGAATTAATGCTTCATTTGGTCATAGAAATAGATGCTGAGACAAATGATATGCAGTGGTTGGGGCTTCCATACTGTAGCCATCCTAATATTGATTACTGAGATGTCTTTGCAATCTCTTGTTTATATCAAGTACTGTCTTGTGACAGCTTGGCTGATATGAGCTACATTGCAGATAAGAAGGAAAAATGTCCCGGGTTCTTTTTAGTGGCAATTCTACATACAACACGCAGGGTAGATAAATTATTGGGGTTTTGTTTAAAAAATGAATTCCGTAGGGCAGCAAAGGAAAAAGAAAGATTATGCTGTGTGTCAGGGATTTGTTTTTTTGTTGGATTTGGTTGGTGTATTTCTTGGTTTTTGGTTGGTTTTTTTTTTTTTTTGGGGTTTTTTTTTTTTTTTACTTTGGTTTAGTTTTTCTTAAATTAATTGCAGAATGAAAAGAGAGTGGCAAGGTCAAATTTTAAATTTCACTGGTAAGGTTCTACTCTTTGTCATATTAACATCTTAGTGTGATATTAGTATCAGTTGTATGTTTGCCATCTGATGCTCTGAAGCAATGGGTAGGTAAAGCAGTTCAATCATTTCCTCACTGCTTAAGTACTTACTGCACTGCTGTCCTACTTCATTAACCTGCAGCAGCAAAAGATAAAAGCCTTTGAAAATAAATACCTTTTAAAAGCTATTTTTGTGAGCTAGAGTTTTCTATCTATAACTTGGTAGGAAGTGAAGAACAGTCCGTATACTTTTGCTTCCCGAACATTTTATGTAATGAAAACACTATGCATACACTTTAGGGAATACTCAAAGGATTTGTTAAGACCTTTGCCACTTGCTAAAATATGACTCATAAAACTTGTAAACAACTATCAACAATAGTAAATTACTTGCTTAGCAGGAAATGAGTTCATATCTATTCAAAATGTGATCTCAAAACAGATGTCCCAAGAAAATGTCATTGTTTAAACTACATTCATACAAAAAAAATTGCTATTATTTCTTTAAGGAAGTGAAGCAATCATGAAGACTTTGGTGTTCTTAATTTCTAAACACAGTTAGGAAATACAAGGCAACATTTTACACTTGGCTAGCATGTTAATCCATAAACAACCGCAAAATTTGTTGAAAATTAAGAGATTTTCTTGGCATGTTAGGTTTCCTCTTCATCTGCATTACCTTGCAATATTTAAAATTATGAGACAAATATGAGTCTTCCTGTGATGTGTTGTTCAAAAGTAAAGCTTGCTTGTATACTATTCTTTTCTTTTTCATCCAGAATCAGAGATAAAATGATTTAGGTGAAATTATTTTTCTCCAGTGACCTTGCCCAATAATAGAACAGTACAAAATGCAGTAATTTCCTTTTTCTAAACACACGTGTCTATTTTAAGGGAAAGAATTACTTTTATGGTTTCAGGAAAAAGTCTTGGAGACCTTGAAAAAGCAAATAAAAGGAAACAGAGAATGCAGGCCACTGAGCACAGCTCTGCAGTTGCACATCTGATTCTCTGCCTTGGCAATGTTAATGAACCTCAAATCCTCCCTATAATTAGATGAGGGAATTGCTTATATTTTCAAACAGATGATGCTGCTGTAATGAAACGATTGACAGGGAACTTAAAAGTGTCTACAGTAGTCATTTAGTTTCCGGGTTTTGGGTTTTGGTTTTTTTTTTCCTTCTATCCTGTTTTTTTTTTTTTTATTTTTTTTTTTTTTTGGGGTTTTTTTTATTG